GCAGGGGCCTGAGTTTGATCCCTGGTACCAAAAAAAAAAAAAAGAAGCTAAAAATATATTTATGTACATAAATAGTGAAATCAAGTATGGCAGTGTACACTTGGGAAGCTGAGGGCAGAGGAGTCAGCTCTTGTGACATAATGGGACCTTGTGTCCAAAAGAAAAATTTGAAACTGATGTTTAACTTTCACACAGTTGTCACAACTTCCTCAATTTCTCAACATGATCTGTCTTAAACATTTGATAATACTGTATCCCAAATTACTTTTTAAAAATGGTATTGGGGATTGAATCCAGGGCCTTTGTACTAAGCTATATTCCCAAATCTTTTTTCACTTTTTGAGGCAAGGTCTTGCTAGGTTGCTAAATTGTCCAGGCTGGACTCAAAATTCTGATCCTCCTGTCTCAGCCTCAGAGTATTGATTACAATCATGCTCTACTATGCCTGTATGAAGTACTATAGATTTTAACCTTTTTGATAACAGCTTTGGTCAACCTCCTCTTACAGATTAGGACACTTTGCCTCAGAGAAGTAGCTAAAATAAATTAAGAGAATTAGTTTAGGCTTGTAGCTAAGGTCTAATGCTAAGGCTTATATTTATAACCATGCTGAGTTGTGTTGCTTTCATATTTGATCCATGTCTTTAACTGTTTGTTATAAGGTAATTCAATTTTTGTTTGAAAATTTAATGTTGTCATTTTAGTTCTTAAAATGTGAATATCATTGTGAGATAAGCCAGTCTTTCTACTTGTCTATTTTGGGGTTTGTTTGTTTGTTTGTTTGGTACCGGGGATCAAACTACGGTCCTTGTGCTTGTGAAGCAGGCAGCAGAACCACTGAGCTAAATCCCCCCAGCCCACTACTTGTCTATTATAAAACTTTAGAACCAGGTGTGGTTGGTACATACCTGTAATCGTAGCATGGGAAGGCTGAGGCAGGAGTATTGCTGTGAGTTGGGGACCAGCCTTGGCAACATAGTGATTTCAAAGCCAACCTGAACTACATTGTAAGACCTTGTCTCAAAAAACAAACAACAACAAAATATATACATATATATCATATATATATCTTACATGTATCTTTCAATTCACGGTTTAAAGTTATATTTTGGTAGAAACTATTATCAGTCTCTTTTATTCCCAAGAACAAGAATAAGTATAAATTCATTTGCTAGCTAGGGTGCTGTTCAGAGAGGAACAGTGTAAGACATGAAGTTTTCCATTATAAAGGATTTATCTGTTATTTTTGTCATTGCCTTTTAAGTGATCTGTAATGGTATGGAATGTGATAACTCTTCTTCCTACTTTCATTAAACATGAATCTTGTTCAGGATTCCTAATAAATCAAAGGATTCCAAAGAAAGATTTCACTTGACAGTGGAAGGTTAGGGCTGGGGATTTAGCTCAGTGGTTCCGGTGCCTGCCTCACAAGCGCAAGGTCCTGAGTTTGATCCTTCGTACAAAAAAAAAAAAGTGTAATACAAGTTTATTGCTAGTTATTCTTTTAAGTTTTAAAATAGTCTGAATAGATTATATGTAAAATTATAGCAGGCTTCATTAAAGGTAATTATTGTAATGAAATAAAAGTATGATCACAAGCTTCTTTCTCATATTATGTAAATTTATTGATCCATTTTTTAAAATTTTCTAAATAAATGATTCAGTGCTCTTACTGCTGTTCCTTTCAGGAGTTTTTTGTGGAGCCATTTAATCGAAAAGCACGCCAAGAGAACTTGAGATATAATAATATGCTTAAACAACTTAGCAGTCAACGATTAGCTGCTCTTAGACTCTGGAAGGCAGTACAACTCTACCTTACATGTGAAAGGGGACCTTGGGCTGAAAGGTAGGAATATATTATTTATTAATTACTCCTTTTCTTTAGAACTTTTAAGCCAGTTCCCTTTTGATTCCAAATTAATTTTATTGTGTTTTTATAAATTAGATCAGAGGTTATTTGAGGTTTTGTGTGCTGCCAAGCACCCTGCAACCCCCCACAAAGCTTTCATACTTAGCTACATCCCTAGCCCATTTTTATTTTTCGAGATAGGATCTTGCTAAATTGCCCAGCCTGAGCTTAAACTTGTCATGTTCCTGCCTTAGCTTTCCAGAGTGCTGGGATTACATACATGTACCAGCACTCTTGGCATAAGAGGTTTTTTTCATGGACTTATTTTCTTTTTGCCTTATGATATAAGGTTTATTGGACTTTAGACTCAGTAAATATTGACATAATATACTTCTGTCTTTCTGACACCACCTCTTTGAAGTAGGGTTAATGAATTATATGGTTAAATATTTTATAATTAAGTGATTCTAAGTCATTTCTGTTTTGATGAATCATATCAGTTTTATAGCCCTTTTCTATAAATCACATTTAATTTTAACCATTTTATTTATTTCATAATATTTTTTTCTGGGGATGGGAATTGAACCCAATGTCAGCATACTAAGCAAGCACTGTGCTACTGAGCTATGTCCCCAGCCTTCAGTTTAACCATTTTAGAATGTATAATTTTAGAATGTATAATTTCACTCAACATGGTGATACATGCCTATACTCCTTCATTCTGAAAGGTTCAGGCAGAAGGATCACAGATCAAGTTTAGCCTGGGCACCTTAACAACTTAGCAGACCCTGTCTCAAAACAAAAAAGTATGGGGATGTAGCTCAGGGTGAAAGCCCTGGGTTTAGTTGCCAATTCTCAAAGGCGGGTGGGGGGAGGTACAGTTTAGTGGCATTAAGCACAATCATCACATCTGTCTAGCTTTAGAATATTTTCATCACTCTAAAGAAAACCTTGTCTTCACTAAACAGTTACCTCCATCACCCCCAGCCCCTGGCACCTGCCAGTCTACTGTGTCTTATTATTTTCCTCCTTTGGATATTTCATTAAAATGAAACTATAAATAGGTAACCTTTTGTGTCTTAAATAGGTGACTTATTTTACTTGGTATGTTTTTGTTATAGCATATTATGTAACAATGTTTTATTCATTTTTATGGCTGAAAAATATTTCATTGCATGGATATACTACCTTTGTTTATCCAGTTAACAGTTGATGGGAGATTAGTTATTTCTCACTTTTTAAGGTGTAATTAGTGCTGCTATGAACAATTGTGTAAAAATGTTTGAACATCTGTTTTATTATTGTTGTTTTTGGGTATTGGAGATCAAATGCAGGACCTTGTACTTATGAGGCGGGCCTTGTGCTTGTGAGGTGGGTGGTGGAACCATTGAGTTAAATCCCCAGCCCTCAACATCTGTTTTTAATCCCTTTGGTTATATCTGCAAGTAAAATTGCTGGATGATGTGCTAATTCTGTGTGACTCATCGAGGGCTTTCCAGACTCTTTTCCATAGCACCATATCATTTTGTTTCCACTAACAAGGTATGAGGGTCCCAGTTTATTCACATCCTAACCAACACATGCCGAAAAATTCTATAGCCCCTCGTAGTGGGCATGCTATCTTATGATATTCCTAATAACTAATGATGCTGATCATCTTTTCTTGTGTTTATTGGCCATTTGTTTATCTTTGCTGGAGAAGTGTCAATTTTTAGAAAAATTTTACTAGTCCATTTTTATAGTACATAATGATTATATTCGTCATGGTGAGTTGGTACATGTGCCTAACACATCTCCTTCCCACTGTCCACTCAGTTTCTTTGCTTGTTTATAAAATAGGCTTCTAAGAATTTTACAGTCTTTTTTTGTCTTTTTTTTTTGTAATGAGGATCAAACTCTGGACTTTGCACTTGTGAGGCAGGCAACTGTACCACTGAGCTAAATCCCCAGCAGAATTTTACAGTCTTAACTCTTACATCATTGATCCAATTTTTAAATTTTTTATTTTTAAAAAAGTACTTAAAAGTTTGCATGTTTTTTTGGTGATAAAAATAATGTATACTCCTGGGTAACAAAACAAAAGTGTGTATAGGTTAAGTGTCCCTATCCTGGATGCATGAGACTAGAAATAGATTTCAGAGTCTTTCAGGTTTTGAAATATTTTATAGACTTTACAAGCTGGGCATCCCTAATCTCTCTTTCTTTGATCCATTTTTACTTGTCTTTATTTTTAATAAAATTATTTTTAAACTGTATTTGAAATATAAACTCACTGTATAGTTACTTAAGAAATTCCATTGAATATGAAAAATTAAAGGAATCAGGCTGTAAGTTTGAAAGTCCCCATTCAGATCTGATTTATGTTACCTGTAAACCACATATATCAGAGAAAATTATAGCCTCTCCTAAGTTCCTCCTGTACAAACTGTAGCTATACACACTCACTTTAATTCTCTTAGTGTTGTTTGGATTAAATGAGGTAACAATGAAAAAATCAAACAAAGGGCCAGGATTTAGCTTAGTGGTGTGCTGCCTGCCTCACAAGCGCAAAGTCCTAAATTCGGTACCTGGTACAAAAAAAAAAATTAGGGCCGGGGATTTAGCTTAGTGGTTCCACTGCCTGCCTTGAAAGTGTAAAGACCCAAGTTCGATCCCAGGTACTTAAAAAAAAAAAATGACAAAAGTGAATGAGATTACTAGTATGAATGTTTTAACACGAAAACAAAACACTTTTTTGTGGTTTTTGTTTTGTTTGTTTTGTGATAGTGGAGATCGTACCCAGGACCTCTGCACTGAGCCACATCACTACCTGTTTTTTGTTTGTTTTTTGAGGATTTTGATTTGTTGTTGTTATTATTTTGAGACAGGGTCTCTATGTAATTCCAGCCAGCCTTGAACTCACTGTGTAGCCCAGGCTGGCCTAAGACTTGCAGATGCTATGCTTCTGTCTCAGCCTCCCAAGTGCTGAGATTACAGGCATGCACCACCATGCCTGGCCCTTTTGTTTTGCTTGTTTGCTTGCTTGCTTGCTTGTCCCCCCCAATCCCCCCAGTAGGATCTTGCTAAATTGCTTAAACTGGGCTCAAATTGCTATTCTTCTGCCTCAGCTGCTCATAGTGCTGGTATTGTAGGTGTGTGCCACCACACCTGACTGATACTTGGTAATTTCTCTTGCTACTTCAGTCAACCTATCTTTGTAACTTTAATCTGAATATTTTATTTGTTTACTTATTAATATTTTTAGGAAACAGAATCCAATTCACTGGAAATTAGCTAATGTAGAAAATCATTCCCGCATGAGACTTAAACTGGTACCAAACTATAATTTCAAAACCCATGAAGAAGCTAGTGCCTTGAGAGATAATTTAGGTGAGTTCCAATGACTATTTATTTATTTTAAATTATTTTTTGAAGATAGACTGTTGATGTTATTTTTATTTCATTGTTTTTAAAATGTTAACTTATAAAGGAAAAGTGATATTTTACAGTTGATACTTAAATGTTTAATATGTTTAATACTATTATATTTGTGCTAAATCTAAGACTTCATATTTTCTTTTTTTTTTCAGCTTTAATTGAGTTTATTGGTACATTTTAGGGATACAGTACAGTTACATTTATTGTTGGGATCTTGTACCTCTACATGACAAATCTTGATTCTCATTTTTTCCCCTTACCTCTGCCCTCCCTTCACCCCCTCCTCCCCTCCCCATCTACAAACACTTTATTTTCATCTTTTCATTCTCTCACATTTTTTTCTTTTCCCTTTTTACTCTTCCCCTACCCATCCCACCTTCCCTACACCTTTAGCTCCTTTCTTCCCATTTCTAAATGTCAGTAATCTTATTAGGATCTTATGCATTGTTGCCGATTATTCACACCAGGGAAACTATTCAATATTTACACATGTGTGACTTATTTATTTCACTTAGGAGTATATCTTCAATATGTATCCATTTTCCTATAAATGAATCTATTTTCTCGTTCTTTATGGCTGAGAAGACTTCATATTTTCTTTGGTGGTACTTTCACAAAAAATGTTTTTAAATATAAAATTATACTGAGTTTCAAATGAACTATGCCTTTTATAGTGAAATATTGTTTTCTCCCTTAGACTAATGTTAGATATAATAGAATTCTTCAAAACAGAAAAAAAAAATGGGTGTGGTGGTATACAGCTGTAATCTCAGCTACTTAGGAGGCTAAAGCAGATGAATCACAAGTTCAAAACCATCCTTGGCAACACAGCAAACTTTATAAAAATAAAATTTTTTTTCTTAGCAATCCTTTAGGCCTCTCTTTTATAACCTAATTCTAAGCTGAGCATGGTGGCACATGCCTGTAATCCCAGCACTGGGAGAAGGAGGCAAGAGAATCACTGCCTCAACTATGTAGGGAAATGCTGTCTAATAAAATACAGACCACAAACTAATTCTAAATGACTAAACCTTTAATGTTCTGTTGTTGTTTTTTGGTACTGGGGGATGGAACTTGAGACCTTGCACTTGTGAGGCAGGCAGCAGCACCACTGAGCTAAATCCTGGCCCTAAACGTTTAATGTTTTTGATGGGCTGATACTTTAAAATATTGCTGGATACTCCATGCTTAGCATGCACAAGGTCCTGGTTTTTAATCCCCAGGACCACAAACAAAGTAAAATAAAATAAGTTATTCTAGCAATAGTTCAAAATAGATTTTAAGCATTTCTACCCATCTCACTTGTCTCATTGCTCACATTTTAAAGATAGGTCATACCGAAGATGTTGTTTGTGAAGTTACTGGCAGTCATCTGTGCACTAATTTGCACCGTGTGATCAGGGACTAGGTTATAGATGAAATGAGTGACAACTTTTAAAGATATTATTATTTTAATTTAACATATTGGCCAATAAGTTGGTACCATAAAATTAATCAAAGCCATGTTCTTTACCTTAGGGTTTTATATTCTAAAATAAGTCAGATAATGGTAAGTGATTTTCCTTATTAAAAGATAGTATCCCTTTCCATGATACAACCACCGATTTTTAGTGTATCTTACATAGCAACAACCAGTTATATATAGCTTTTCCTCCTTTTTAGAATCCTGAGACTAGTATACTTTCTGTATTGAATATTAGTCTAATAATTTTTTAAGAATCCTACGTCATTTTCCTGACTTTTGCCAACAGATCCTACCCCAAGAAGTTCCTTCTCCCCCTTCCTTCCCATTTTATCCCTCTACACATACATACAGGTATAATTTTATGTCCCTTTTTCTTGGTCTCAGGTGTTTTAAGTCCAGGAAAACTAATATCCTTTCTCCTTTTTTCACCTCAGTTTTTTTCATTACCTTTTTTTTTTTAATTCACTGCAAATATAATGGTGACATTAAAAATGTAGTAAAGAGGGTCAGGTGATTTAGCTCAATGGTTCCACCGCCTGCTTTGCAAGCACAAAGTCCAGAGTTCAATCCCCAGTACAAAAAAAAAAAAAATAGTAGTAAAGAAAAAATACTTTTCTTCTGAAATTGGAGATAGTAAGAAGTCAGCAGCTTCAGATTTTGAGACATGTAAAGTTTCCTGAAATACATACGCTTCTGAATTAACTGCACAGTATTTTGCTTCCTTCTTATTTTTGTACTAATATTGAAGCATTTAGTAGTTATCCTTTTCCTAAGTGTATTTCTTTCTTAGCTCTGCTGTCACTCCTTACTTTCATACCAATTTTGTTTTTTTTTTTTTTTTCCTAAAACTTTTTTCTGAGCTTTCAAGTGGTAGTGTTCCCAGATCTATGCTTATCCACCTTGTCTGACTTGTTTTCTCTGGATCGTTTCAGGCTTCACCACTGTATGTATAATGGTGCTCTCTCATTTCTGTTTGTAGTTGTAGCTTTCCTTTTGAACCCTAGACCAGTGATTCCAACTGCCTGTGAGGTTGACTTCTCTGCAGCCTCCATGTAATTGATATTACTGAAACTAAATTAGGTATCTTTTCTCATTTATGTATCATTTATTCTACATTGTTTCTCTTCTATCTTGTATTGTGGTTATCAGTGTCTTCATATTTTAGTTATTCAAATTAAATTCATTATTATCTATAAATTTACCCTCACCTCTCTTAATTCTCTACACATGATAGCTTTTTAGATACAACGCCATGTTGATTCTAGCTCTTACATATCCTTTGAATATTTTTCCTAATTTTATTCCCTTTTCTCTTGTCATAGCTTAATTTGAGGCGATCTTTCCCCAAATTTACAGTAGATTTCCCAGCTGGCCCCCTTGCTCTTCATTCCTACCAACCCTCCACCGATCTTTCATTAGATTTTCAATTTAGATTCCTAATGGTGGGTGTACCATCATTTATCTACATGAAGTCAACTCTCTGTATCAGATGTTTCTAGACTTCCTGCTTTTTCATTTTTATTCCATTCTTAAGTGCTTTAAGTAAATATTCTAACAGTTTTCATTGGATCTCATGAAAGAAAAATGTTCAGTAGGGATAGTTACCAACTTGTTTTAGGATAATTATGGGCCATGTAGAAGAAAGTGAATTGAAAGCAGATTTACACAGAAAAATGCAACTTTAAATACATTAATGCATTTTATATGTTTAAGCAGTGGTACCATTTGAGAAATTGAAAGGGAACAGCAATAAAAGAAGAAGTTGAAAGGGAAATAATCTTCTTTCTAGTGTTTTGTTTACAGTTTTTTAAATAGTCATTTGCAGTATTGGGTTAATATGAATTATTTCCTATAAATGAAATATGTTTATTAATTTATAGAATTTTAAATTCCTACATGTAAGTTATATATTTACTTATATTACTGTCTTCATGCCAGTTAAGATAGTTGAGATGAATATAGTAATAGCTACCACTTATATTTACTATCCTATATATTACCTTCTGTATTGATAAGAATGATGATAAATTCTTCTTTTCCACTTTAAGAAAACATAGGCATCATGTGCAGTGGCACATGCCTGTAATTCTAGCTATTCAGAAGACTGAGGCAGGGAATCATAAGTATGAGGCCAACCGGGCAATTTAAGAAGACCTTGTCTGAAAATATTTTAAAGGGGGTGAGGGAGCAGCTGGGAATGTAACTCCATGGCAGAATATTTACATAGCATGAGCAAGACCCTAGGTTCAATATTGTAGCACCACAATAAAGAGGGAGGGGTGAGAAATTCATGGAATCCTGTGGCTAATATGGCAGAATAGAATTTGAATCTAGGTTTATCATCTCACAGCCCATGTTCTTTTCATTATACCAGCACTGCTTTCCTATAAAAAGTTTTGTTTAAGAAGTATGTTAAAGCCGGGCATGGTAGCTCACGCCTGTAATCCCAGCACTTGGGAGGCTGAGACAGGAGGATTGCTGTGAGTTCGAGACCAGCCTGGGCTACATGGTGAGTTCCAGGTCAGTCTCAACTACCTAGTGAAACCCTGTCTCAAAAAA